AATACTCACTTATTGACAAATATGTATTGATGCTGCACACAGACACACAATACGCATCGTAGTAATGATATTGATTTCAACGATTACGTACTTTTACTAAACTGGGTCCTAATTTTTAAGTCTATTTACAATTTTATTAACCACAACAATGTTAAGAAAACTAACAAGTATATAAATAAGCGAATATCAAGAACCAATTCTGAAAGTCCTTCAAACGACGTAGTATTATTGAAAAAACTTATTTGAAATTGAATCGGTCATTTCAAAAACCGCTTAAGTCAATATTTTTTCCAACATGCTTTTTTTACAGAAAATGGTTTTTCAAAGGTAGATGTGTATTCTGGGTGAAAACAACTTAAGTCAAAACATTCCTTCCTCTTTTAATAATACCGCGTGAAAGATGTTCATTGCATAAACAACATTAGTCAGTGACTTAAGAGGTTTTTGCAAAAAAAAAATGTTCGAAAGCATGATCGTATCTATGTCCCAAAAGAATACATTGATTTGGTTTCGAACTCCAGCTCAACATTCACAGTTATAGAGCTAAAAACTAAAGATATTTTAGAATATAAGAAATGGTGGCCAAATTTGTACAAAAAAAAATGTTTGTCAACTGAATCTTATGGAAAAAAAGTCCCAAAGGCCCAGAAAAAGTCTTTTGCACCTTCGACATACACGAGTTTTTCATATGATTCAGATCGAAAAGGAACTATCATAGACGAGGAAAATAGTGTTGGATTGATTGAACATTCATTCTTATTATTAAAGAAAATAACAACTTCTGTTTCACTTCCATCAACGAAAGCCTATAATTTGAAAGTGCCCATCAATAAAAAAAAATAGACGATTTAAAACTAGTTCAAGATAGCATTCCGGAAGAGCATATGCCATTTTATAACAACATTTTTAGCTGGCTAACTGCAAATGTTAAAGATAATCCAGATGAGAATGATGGAGAATATGACTATGTACCATAAAGATATTAAAACATGGCAAATTAATACATGTGAAATGTTAATAAGATTATTTTTACGTGTAATTCTTAATTACAAGCAATAAAAAATATAATTACTACAATTTTTTTGGTTAAATTATATACCATTAAACCTATTTCTCGCTAAAACGACATAAGTCAAGAACTGTTTATCAGGCTTTTTTCATTACTTCTATTAATAAAGCGAAAAGATTGTACGATATTTTAATTTTTTACCCCTCGAATACTAAATTAACCATAAAGAAGCCCTTCAAAACTCATTTGTTTGTGTATGAAACAGTTTTTATTGATTTCTGAAAAATTATAATTTTGTGACTTATGAGGTTTTTGAAATGACCGATTCAATTGTGATAGAACATTAAAAAGGCACACTTCAACGTCAAAGAAACTTTACGATAGATAGTGCACTCTTGAAGTATAAAGGAATTAGCTTCGATCGTAGTTTCAAAACTAAGAAAACAAGCTTATATAAAGATATTAATGACTTTAAAGTTAAAAGGTTCTCCTAACAAATTTTCAAAGAACATTTATGACGTAATATGTAAACCTATAGTTATATATTAAATACATTATTTGAAATTATCCTCATATATTAAATACATTCTTTGAAATTAAGGGATATCGAGGGGGCATATACGTTAGGTTTTCTAAAACATAGTTTTTACTTCGTTAACATATATATTAACGTACTAGTCCTGAACAGATTTCTTGTTGTATCTTAGTGCACCGCTTCCTATTCTTCTCGGTCATTTAATATTAAACCACAAATTGTAGATAGTTTTAAAAAATAACTCAAAGTGATAAACCTTATCAATGATGGCATAGTTCCCTGTCATGAATATTCCACTTTCGTTGAGATTTATTGGGGCCGGGTTTTCTTCTTGTCGTTGATATATGTCCTGTTAGAATTGAATTCGTCGATATCCTTGTATTAATTTAATGTCAGAAACATGGGTGTGGAAGTGGAAATATCTTTTTGCCATCAAAAACATAATCTGGAAAAAATGCAAGTATTGTTAAATTAAATAGCTTGATTTATTATGAATAAAGAAATCATAAAATGCCTTTGTAAGGCCTCTGCCTCGAATCTCGCGGGTAGGGGGCGGCGGATACGGCGGCGCGGGAGCGGCAGAATCTTACGCGTATAATCAAATGGACCAACCCTCGAATACAGCGGTGCAGGAGCGGCGCAGGGGCGGGCAACGAGCGGTGTACGGGTGCAATCCAGTCAAGCGGTGACCGCCCGCGTTGCGCGTCTGCATTGTAGTTATAGTGTTGTAAATTGTTTTTGTGACGTATCAAAATGTCAAAACGTTTTTCAGACATTTCGTTCGCGAATAAAAACAAATATCTCGACAACATAACCACGAACACAACACTACACCGCTATAGTGCCGCGCGATCTGCCCGCTAGTTTGGAGAACAGGTATGCGTTGCCCGCGCCGCCGCCGCCGCCGCTCCGCTGCCCGAAAAATTCGAGGCTGAGGCCTAATTAGTGTTGAGTGACCGATAATGAAGTCAGTACCACTGTGAAGGTCGGAAACTGGTCCCAAATAAATCATGTAGGTCTTTAAATATTCATGAAAGGTCTCTGTACATATGTAATGTGCATCATTTTATCGATACATTTATGACACACGAACAGTAATTGTTTTTCTATATGAACATATATTTTTTAAGAATTGGAAGATATGTATAATTCATAAAGTAAATTTGATTTTTTTCTGCATCAATGTACCATAAGATCCTTAGGCAATCGTTATTTATTTTTTGGGTAGCACAAATTTACGAACCACTGATTCATTGCTTAAAATATCAAAAGAGTGAAGTGGAAATTAATGATTTTATGTGATTGGTTACAATAAATCTTTAATAAAATTGTAATAACATAGTCTAGCCATAAATATTGATACAAAATAAAAAAAATATATTTTTTCTATTGCAAATAACAGTTATTACTTTTACAGTATGTAAGTTTCATACGTAAATATAAAACAATTTTAAACTCCAAAAGATTATTCGAAGTAGTCTCCATTGGCTGCAATACAGTGCTTTAAATGTTGAGGACAGTTATCAATAGAAGCACGTACTCTTTCCTTGGAAAAATTCTTCACTTCCATCGTATAGATTGTTTTAGAGAGTCCAAATTATCATTTAGAGCAAGACCTACTCTCTAAAACTGGCCATAAATAATAAGTTCGGGACTAGAAGACGGCCAGTCTTCAGCTCTGATGAAGTCGGAAACGGAAGCCGGAATCTTATACATATGTATCTTAACATAATATGTATAAGATTTTAATAACCATTTTAATAAACATGAAAACTAAGCATTTTGTGTATTTTCAATAGTAATGACACCGAAAGAGTCGTGTAACCGAATATATATGAATGAAATAAAATAAACATAGTTTAACCTAAATAAAATTGAATTTTATTTTGATATAAAACATATTCAAAAATATTTCTTGTCCCCATCGATACTTTTATTCATTTCATTTCTTTATTTTCAGATTAAAAGTATTTCTCGAGATCCATCTTATTAGTGTTATCTTTGCAACACTCTGGAGTATCGCATGATGTAAACATTTAATTTGGATTTGGGTGAGTATTTTTATATTTGATTTTATAATAATATTCACAACGAAAAGGTAAAGCCGCTTTCTATGTTTAGTTAATTCAGATATATTTTCACTTCATTCAGAAGTAAGTTATTAAATAAAGTATTATGTGGTAAAAAATATATCAAAGTCTTTTTTATTTAAAGTGTTTTATCAATTCGAATCAGTATGTAATATATGTAAACGTCTCCTTCAAACCTGTTCTGACGTTAATGATATTTGATAGATTTTTCACAAATATGTGGCTGTTTTTAGCTTAAAACCGACCTCCCGTTCTTGTAATCACATTCGAAATCATTAATGTGTACTGATTTATTACCTTTATAATTGTTTCCGTTTATTTTGTGTTCTCAATAAAATTTTAGTAATAAATTTATAAGATCAATTTCCATAAGCCAATCATTCCGTCGCGTCGAGTGGAAACGATAATGTGTTTCAAAGTAACATAAAATAATTATTCCAATAAAACTGGCAGACCGTTGAACAAATTCTAGAGAATGCTGAATATTCACGATTAAACTCTCTGAGTAAGCGGAACGGTTGAAATATTTCATTTAACTAAGTATTACTTTTTGGAATGGAGATCGTCTATTTTGTTCGACGTTTATGCTACAATATATTATTGTCTATATATACATATGTATGTATACTAGTCGGTCTCATAATGAACTGGCCTGATATAGTTCTACGCGACATGCCGCTTTATGTTGTGTTGCATTAAAGAGTGCATTTCTTATGAACTTAATATAAGAAACAGGCAACAACTCAATAGTAATAAAATAAACTAACTTTACAGTTACTTTACAGTAACAGAAACGTCAGGAGTATGTAGTTTATAGTCAAAAATAAATCGAATTGTAAATCCGAATATATAAGTTTCATTTAAATGAGTAGGAAAATCTTAGATCTCATTATTATTACAGTCATGCTTTATTGTAGTTACGACTATATAGACATCAAAATTATAAAGTGACCAAAAAAGACTTTTTAATTAATATAAAACTAACAAATTATTATAAATAGTGGAAAAAAAAATTATGTCATAAAGAAATTATACAATGAAGTGTGAATGAATTTGTTCTTATATATGTATTTATGATAAACATATAAAACTGAAGAATGCTGGTGAAGTCAAAGTTAACCAAAGATAATAAGTAGAACAAAAATGTTTTAACCAGGCATTTTCCGAAGCTGAAATTGTTAGGACAAAACGAAGCCGTTGTTTTTTATACCACTTTCAGGGAAACTTTATTGTTACAAAAATATAATTTTGATTTTCCTGGCTACATTTTACTGTGTAAAATTTTTGTTGATAAAATGCTCTTAAAGTTATAGTTTTGTTGTATAAAGTAAACATGTATCTTTTACAGATTTTTTTATTTTAAAATATGAAGATGAAGATGCTCCCAAAAGATGAAGATGCCCCCGAGCTAGAGTCACGACTTCAATTCCATAAGCAATTTATGATAGGAGCACAAAGTAACAGAGTGGGGTTAGGATCAAATAGGAAAGTCCAAGATGCGGATATTTTGAAGTCTTTTATTCGGCAAGACGAGAATGATAAATATAAGATCCATGCAATGAATTTAGAAATGCAGAACGAGTGGTTAGACATAGGAGGTTTTTGCATCCCATTAGCATTAAAATGGCGCACTTTAATTTATGATTGGTCGCCAGCATTGCTAAAATTCTATCTCAATGAGTTCCAGATGACTCTCCCAGATCAGAGTAATTTAGTAAGATGGGGTAAAAGTACCGAAAAAACTTGCTATATCTGTGGAAAGGCAGTTGGAACTGCTAAACATCTGCTGGTGGGATGTAAGGTACTCCTGGACAGCGGTCAATACTCGCGTCGTCACGATAGGGTTTTAGAAGTCATACGTGAAGCGGTTAGTCTTTCGGTGGCCAGAGCGCAAAAGGAAATTACCACAAACGAACGATCAGTAGGTTTTTGTGAGAGAAGGCACTAGGGCTACAAAATCAAACGTCAAGCCTTATTCATCCTTAAAGCGGCGTCGGATTGGACTATAATGATGGACACGTATGAAAAACAGTATAAAATCCCCGAGGACATTTGTGTGTCGGCCTCCAGACCGGATATATTTTTGTTTTCGCGAATTTTAAAGCGCGTAGTGATGATAGAGCTTACGGTCCCTTGGGAAACCAACATCCCCAAAGACCATACCATCAAGGTCAACAAATATTACGAGCTCACAAAGGAACTCACTCGAAATAGGTTCGTAGTAGATTTGTACGCGGTGGAGGTGGGAGCGAGAGGTATAACAGCGAAATCTCTCTATAACCTACTAAAGGACTTGGGCTTGTCCAGAACTCACATTAATGCATTCTTGGAACGTACATCGAAGGCAGCCCTAGTAGGTTCTTTTCAAATTTGGTTAGGTAGGGAGAGGAGCTTGGACAGTGGAGGTGAGCGTATAACGCGCGTTAGTTAAGGGGCCCCTTAAACCTACACCTGGGTCGTAAGTCCCAGGCACTGTTGAAGCTCCTCTCCCTGCAACGCGATGGACCCGGCACCCGCACGGTGAATCCATGGAATGCTGAGAAGTTTCGTCTCTATCGAACAACATACAATGTCTTTGTAATCCTGAAGCCGAAAACTTTCTTCGACAATAAGAGTAGTATCTCTCCATTCACTACAATTTTTATCGAACCTAATAAACGTTTTCTATTAACCCAAAGATATTATTATGCTCTGGAAGCTAGGTAAGGGTTATAATTAGTTATTTATGCTAATCATTGCTTTCTACAATAAATTAATATTTCAAACGATAGGCCTAATTAAAACAATCGATAGGCCTTATTTAATTTAAGCTATTTTCGTAAATAACAGTGTACTATCTGTCTGAACAACTGACAAACAACTGTCAAAAAATTGGCAGTTATTTGAAACGTACTTAGACTCTAAAGACTCTAAAGTTTACAAAGAGTACATCAAAAAAGTTGAAATGTAAATAAATACTCAAGGTATCTTAAGCTTAAGTTTTTGCTCAATTTATTTTACTAATCTTAATATAACCTTCGACGAAGTGCTAAGCTATCTATATAGTAAGATAACATTAAAAAAAAATGAATGAAGTCTGTACAAGGGTTCTCAAATTAAAGTGACCTGGAAAAAAGGGATGAATTTCATAAATGATATGATGAGAAACAATTATTCTATAATACATTTTTATCATGTTCATGTGTCTTTTATATGATTTGAGACTTAGTACAAATCATATAAAAGGATATAGGCGGGCACATGAAAGTTAAATACCTAGTTCTTTAAAAAACTGAACTAAATGAATTGTATAAATGATACTTTTACCATTATTATCTTGTATTACCAATATAAAAAGATGTAACAGTATTTTGAAATAGTACACGATTTTCGTGTTTGGAAACCCTAGACAATTAATCTTAATAAACATCAATTAATTTTAATTTAAACTTTCTGATCATTGAAGGTATAACAAAAGATTTGTTTACCATGGAATACTTGATAAACAATATTTACTCATTACTGACTCCCTATCAATGTTTTGTTATGTTATGTAATATAATTTATATTAAAAGACTTATTTTTAATCCTGTGTGTATGTTTATATTTTTAATTGCCCAGATTTCCTTAACAAGCCTTACTATTTATTCGATGATACAAGTTTTTTTCATCACTTATATTCCTAATATCTTAACTAACCAAAAATTAATTGAAAATTCTATTTTTGTTCATAACTTATCATATATTAAGATCAATATTTTTAAAACATTTGAAAATACAAAATATAATAAGGTCACTCTAAATGTGAAACTAAAAAGGTTTTGTCATACTAATTGAATACTTACAGGCTTAATTAAGTGTGGCTTTATTAAAATTCTGATATTGAAACAATAATTGATTTTAATATTTATCCGATCTGTTTGATGTATTTATGATTTTTCACAAATCCTCTTCAAAAGTCAATCGATGTCTCTAAAGTATATATTTAAAGTAACTCAATAATAGCTCTCATTTGTCATCAGGTAAATTTTGTCTGTCTGTCAGCACAGTATAGATAATTATGATGAATATTTCACATTAATCTTTGTAAATTATAAATTGAATTTGCCAATGGATCACATCAAAGTGACTGTAAGCGTTAAGAATTTGTGACATCGTGTAATGTTGCCGAAAATGATTACGCAAGTTAAAAAGTGAATAAAGTTTAAATTATAACAATATAACTTACAAAAATAATAATAAATATATTACCATGTGATTTAATCTAAATACTATTTATATATATAACTTATCTATCAAATGTTTTCATAGTTATGAAAACTGTAACGACTAAATTTTTATGTGTATCTAAAATAATTTTTATTTAAACAAACGCAATAAAAAATATATTTAAATAGAAGCCTTGATATATAAGGCAACCGCGATCATTGTAACGGAACCAAAACATCGCGCTCATGTAGATAATAAAAAACGCGTAGTATCCGAAAAACTTACTCACACTATATACCTCTTTTGTTACAACATACACGCAAATCTTAATTTCAAAAGCTTTATTTTATTTGAAATGGCAAAAAATGTTTTCATTATTATTTTAAAAAGTGTGAACTTGGAAACGTATTGTGACAAAATTTTATGACATTTTGCTTCGAATCCACAGTTACTCCAAAATAAATCTTTTAAGTCTGTCATATACTAAATCTCCACACAAATAGATTATCCCGGGAGTCGCTCAGATTCTCATAATCCTATTTACAAAGAGTCCTCATATAGACTGTCGGAATTTTGCAAATACTCTTCAGTATTCTCTTAATGTTCCTTTTATTTTTTCCTTTACTCTTTTAAACCTTAATATTTTCCCACCAAAGCCTCTTTTATTTAATACTAGTTAACCCGGCGAACTTCGTTTCGCCACCAGAAGGCTTTGTTTTATGTAACATTTCGTTTGGTGATTAAAAATGAAGATTTTTTTTTGTTTTATATTTGAAAAGGAAAATTTTTATTTCATTTCACAGCAGTAATGAATTCATTTCGATTACAAAAATGAAGTGTTATTTAGTTGAACTTCTCTAAGTAAATGCAAGTGAATCCAAAGTAGATACCGTGCTCCGTGCTCCTTTGTAAACCACATCTACTTAAAATATTGTAGTACATGTTATGTATGATGGCGCTGTTTGTGAAAAACGATATTCCCGCTTTTCTGTTGAAATTTTTTATTATAAACCTCACGGAGCCCGAGACCTATCCAACGAATGCAACAAACCGTGGAAATTAGTTCTTTCGTTCTGAGGTTATAGCGTCAGGATGGAAAACCGAACTTATTTTTATATAGTAGATCTCTTACAAATACCTAATTGTCATCATTACGTCATTACATATCTGTCATTATACGTCAATTGCATAGCTGTCAATTTTATTTTTTGTGTTTCGTTATTCCACGTTTTATAGTGACTGATGTTTCATGTCAAGTCCCACGGGAATGCTGTCTAACGGGATAAAAAGTCCTATTGCATTTTCCTGGCTCTAAACTACCTCTCTGCCAATTTTCAGCTAAATCAGTTCAGCCGTTCTTGAGTTATAAGTGGAGTAACTAACACGACTTTCTTTTATATATATAGATTTCTTAAGTTACAAAAGATTTTACAAAAGCCTTACAGACACTTTCTTCTTGCTGCAGGATAAAATTATGTTGGATAAATTGTATATAAAATTTAAAGTAATTTTTAAATTTAATTCAATGTATACTTAGACATCCTATTTATACATATTTCTGTCCCAGAAAAAATCTGTGTTTTTGTTCATTTGGCATTAATTAATGATTATTTTTATTAAAGATATTTAAGGGGTTTTTGAATTAGCAACTACTAAAAAGTTTTTATACTAAAAGTATTTTTATCATGAAAAATTTTAATGGAAATTTTTTTTCTTCTACTACTGCTACTTCTACTGTAATATATTTATACACTTCACAGATATTGTCTTAATCGATATTTTTGTTTATAAATTGTACTGTTTTCCTTTCGTATAGAATTTATTTGAGTTCATTGAAATGATTGGTTTCCTATTGGTTAGTGCTTTTACCATTATTAAATTTCCAATATCAATGGATCTATCTTTTATCTTGAACTGAATCAAGATGAGTTGATAAGAAAATGGAATAAAAAAGCGGAATTGAATTGACTGTACTAATTGAAAGTGTAGATCAGAAAATATTTTATTTTATACATTTTTATTCGAAATCAAGACAATATATTTATATAAAAATGCATTTTACTAAATATTTTGCTTTCGTAATTAAACCCTGCCTTTTAAACAATTTTATTTTAATGAGCTATTGAATTACTTAATTTTATAAAACTTGAATATAAAAGAACTTATTGCTTAAGAAAACATAAAAATCAAAATGATAACATTCCTTGTTCTAACAATATTTAATGATCAAACTTGAGTTTTATAAAAACTGTAATAATTTTTGTGACTTCCATAAGACATAATTAATGAATCGCTTTTCTTAATTACCAAATAATATTCTTCGGCGTCTGAAATACAATAAATATTGTTGTTCTTACAACTTTGTAATCTAACTTTCAAGAAGAAAACAGTATTTTTCCTAAAAAATATCCTTTTTCTGAACAATGCAAACGTTCCTGAAAACATAGTTTCTGTTTTTATAATTCAATACTGAGTTACAAATTATACCAAAATACCAAATATAACACAAATCTAATAGAAACGTCATCTACGTTTTCAGATTTACGCAAAATTTACAAACACAGATATTAGCTTTCATAGAACGCCTCTAACGAATACACCGATATCCAAATATACTCGTAAAATCTTTTCCATTTCATACATGCGCTTATTATCATTGTAATCTACCAGGTAGTTAAGTAGAACTTAATTCTAATTGTTACATTTGGTTTTAACAATTATCTTTTAAAACAACTACAATAGAGAGAAAATAAAATATGTATTTATATAACAGTAAACAAAATATATTTTTTGTTCACTTAATAATTCTTAAATATGTAGTATTGAGTGAAATTGCTTAACATAGGAAACTTAAAAGATCGATTATTTAAACAATCTATTTAAACATTCAAATTATTCTATGAAATGCTTATAATTAATTACTATAGTGTATTTTCTATATAAATAATAATTAATGAAACTTTTAAACATACATGTTATTTGTACTTTTGAGTTCTTTTGTTATAATCAATTCTAGTTTTTCTACATCACCAACATAGCAAATAGTGTCATGTCTGGCATTTTGTTATGCTAACTTTGTGGACACAGCCTTTCATCTTCACACCGTAACTAAATGCAATTAGAAATTCTAAACATTTAAAATGACTCTTATGCACTTATGATATTTTTTTTATGAAAAGCGTGAAAATTAGAACTTATTTGACGAGCCGTTCTTAATAAATACCTTTGGTTTAGTTTTAATAT